TGGTGACCTGCAAGGAATCACGCGCCGTCATCATTGCTTTGCACACAAAGGGATTCACAGGCCAGGATATCGCTACTAAGATTTGCACCGCAATCCACCATTTATCGGATCATCAAGAACTTCAAGGAGAGAGGTTCCATTGTTGTGAAGAAGGCTTCATGGCGCCCAAGAAAGTCCAGCACGCGCCAGGACCGTCTCCTAAAGTGGATTCAGCTGCAGGATGGGGGCACCGCCGGTGCAGAGCTAGCTAGGGAATGGCAGCAGGCGGGTGTGGGTGCATGTGCACGCACAGTGAGGGGAAGACTTTCGGAGGATGGCCTGGTGTCAGGAAGGGCAGCAAAGAAGCCGCTTCTCCCCAGGAAAAACATCATCCGGGACAGACTGATATTCTGCACAAGGTACTGACTGCTGAGGACCGGGGGAAAGTCATTGTCTCGGATGAATCCAATGCCGGGGGGAATTGCAGAGGTCTGACAGCATGCCGGGGAGAATTGCAGAGGTCTGGAATAAGAAGGCGCAACACTGCAAATAATTGACTCTCTGCATAAACTTCATGTCATTGTCAATAAAAGCCTCTGAGATGAAATGCTGTCATTATACGTCAGTGTACCAGAGTCGCATCTGACAAGAAGATCCGAGAACACGGAAGCAGCAGACTTTGGGAAAATGAATATTTGTGTCGTTCTCAAAACTTTTGGCCAGGACTGTAGAGGAGGAAACCCTCACAGTGGTGCCTTGCCCTGCGTACCCTAGTGGAAGGTTCCATCATTGTGGGCTCATGCCTAGTCTTGCAGAAGGTACCATCACAATGGTGCCTTGTCTACACTCAACAATGGCGCCGTGCCTAGGCTGCCATCACAATGGCGCCGTGCCTAGGCTGCCATCACAATGGCGCCGTGCCTAGGCTGCCATCACATTGGCGCCGTGCCTAGGCTGCCATCACATTGGTGCCGTGCCTAGGCTGCCATCACATTGGCGCCGTGCCTAGGCTGCCATCACATTGGCGCCGTGCCTAGGCTGCCATCACATTGGCGCCGTGCCTAGGCTGCCATCACATTGGCGCCGTGCCTAGGCTGCCATCACATTGGCGCCGTGCCTAGGCTGCCATCACATTGGCGCCGTGCCTAGGCTGCCATCACATTAACTCCATGCAGGGCAATGTCCATTGCGCATGTGTGTAGCTCCCACCAGGGCCAATATCTGCATGGGGTGTGTATAGTCTCCCTTTGTGCAGGTTCCTCTGGGCACTGCTGTAAGTGTAGGATTATTCGCTCTCTGTCTGCGTTGGGAACATTGGGTTGTATGTTCAGGGCAGACGCTGGTGCGGAGGTTCAGCGTCCTCCATTGAACAGCATGGAGTATGTCAATGCTTGATATGTAATACATCTGGTAGGATCTGAAGTCTGTTGCCTGCTCATGTGAGGAATGTTCGAGTTGCCGGAACAGTTTTGCTGCTCTGCCCCTATTTCACTCTCTAATCCGCTCTCTTAACTTAAATGGGGATTAGTGACTAAACGTGGCTTAGACGCCGTCCTAGAAATGTCCTCTCCGGTGGCAATTAGGAGGATATTCATCACGTCGGTATTAGTAGTTGGGGTTGTGCCGGCGTTCCCGGCTCGTGCCAAGCAGCCGGCCGCAATCGTCCCGTACATAGAACTAATCACGTCAGTCTGCAAGAACTCCTCCCCCAGAATCTCCACCTATCCCATGTGCTCCCTCACTGGGGACGTTTTGATGGAACATCAGACTCCTGACAAAGGCCAGAGTACCCCCCCCCACACACACACACACACACACACACAATGTTTTCATCTGCTTTTATCCCCAGAAGGACTGCACCATCTTTGTTTGGGCATCTCCTCATGTATCACTTCCCCCTCCCCTTTTTTAGAATGTAAGCCCTCAGGGGCGGGGCCCTCCTTACCATCTTGTCTTGAATTGTATTGTGATGTCTTCCTTATATTGTACAGTGCAGTGCAAACTGTTGGCGCTCTATAAATCCTGTATTATAATCATCCATCGTCGGCTCCTCTTCCTCCGCTCCCCCGGTCCGGCTGCTACTCCTCTGCCCCCGCCCCCCTTGCCTCCTCTTCATCTGCAGGCTGGGAGCCACACCCAGCCTGCTATTGGATATTTCAAATTGCAATAGCCAATAGCAGGCTGGCTATTGCATCTGCCCACTGCCTGCTGCCAATCAGCATAGGAGGACCTGATGGAGAACTTTCTCCTGCAGGCCCCTCCTCTGCTGATTGACAGCAGGCAGTGGGCAGATGCAATAGCCAGCCTGCTATTGGCTATTGCAATTTGAAATATCCAATAGCAGGCTGGGTGTGGCTCCTAGCATTAAAAATTAAAATAAAAAAAAGTTAAAAATAAAGTTTTTTAAAATAAAAAAATAGAAAAACCTTTTTTTTGGTGTCATTTGAAATAAAAAAAAATTTTTTAAATTTATATAATCTTCTGAACAATGGGAACAGACAGCAAAACAAACGTGACCCTTCCCTATGCTATCCAAAACTCAAATGTTTTTTTGGCTGGAGTTACACTTAAAAAAATGTACCTGTTCTGACTTAAATACAAATTCAACTTAAAGGAGAAGTATGGGGTCAGGGCTTTTCCCCATAGTTCCCCTAAGGGTAACGGGAGGACACAAACCAGCGTCCTCCCGTCACCCTAGGCTCAGTATATAGGGAGCTACAGCTCGCGGTATACTGAGACACCGCAGCCGGAGCGGATCCCGACAATTGTGCCGGGATCCGCCCAGCTGCGTGACTGACAGCTGGCTCTGCCTATCTAGAGGCAGAGCCAGCTTTACCCGCCCCCTCCCCCGTCCGTTCCGCCAGTCAGTGCTGGAGTATCGGACAGGGGAGGAGGGGGGAATCCCTGCAGGCAGCCGTCAGTGCCGGTATGTCTTCGATCACTTCCCGATCTATTGAGCTGACCTGTGACAGTCTCATTGTCACAGGTCAGCTCAGATTTTGAGGCTGAGTGATTTTCACTCCCCTCATAGTTCTCCTTTTTAAAAAGGAGCTCAAACTGTCATTTTAAATCTATTCCTCAGTAGCCACAAAGGATTAAAATCCACTTTGTGTGCACCAAAAAACCCAGATATTTATCATATAAAAGTAGCAGAGATCTCATCACTGTGCTGTGCGTAGCCTGGGCAGGGAGCAGAGCTGTGGGAGGGGCAACTACAGGAAACTACAGGAGGGGGTGGAGACGAGACCAGCCACCCTGCACAAGGCGGGAGAGCAGCAGTGACTGGTCATTATTACAGGAGGGGGCGGAGACAAGACCAGTCACCCTGCACAAGGGGAGAGAGAAGCAGTGACCGGTCTTTATTACAGGAGGGGGCGGAGACAAGACCAGTCACCCTGCACAAGGGGAGAGAGAAGCAGTGACCGGTCTTTATTACAGGAGGGGGCGGAGACAAGACCAGTCACCTTGCACATTGTTCCATTTTATTTCTCTCCTGCAGTAAATCGGTTACTTTAGCATCCTCCTGGTTGTGATGGGTGACCACACCTTTTATATGACGCAGATACTTTACTCTCATCATCGCTATGGTGTCACTGGGCCCTCAGGGTTCCCTAGTACTACATTCATTCTATGGTCATTCTCATAGTTTGAAGGCAATCTAGAAGTAACTTTGTTCCATTCAGACTGTCTGGTTTGTACCACCCAAAACAATTTGTCTATTAGTATTACCTGATGCAGGGGAGTAACTACAGACCATGGGGCCCCATAGCAAAATTTGAATAGGGCCCCATGGCAAACCCTTTTAAAATCTAAATAACGGGTAGCAGGAGAGCTGTCTGCATGGTCTCTTCCTGTACATCCTGATATCAACTCTTCTTGATTGCAAATGCCATAAAGGGTACAGGGTCAGCAGCAACTTCAGCAATCCTTCATGGGGGGCCCCCCCTTCCACCCCCCCAGGCCCCATAGCAGCCGCATGGGCTGCCATGACTATTGTTACGCCCCTGACCTGATGTGTTCCCTGGACTGTAATAGACCTGCAGAG